GAACCCTCGGGCGGGAGCGCCACCGCGCTTCCCAAGCAGCGCACTATCCAGTGCGCCACCGGGCCGGCCCAAAAAAAAAAAAATTTTTTTTTTATTATCAAGGACAACCATTTTTTATTAAGCAAGAACAGATCCAGGTCATTAATTTTAAATTAGGAACAATTATTTAAATCTGATTCTCTTTTTTTTAACTTTCTAGAGCAAATGCTGTGAAGTAGTTTATAAGTCTTCTGCCAGTATGTATGTTTATTCCTTTTCTTTCTGTACTCTCACCACCCTTAAAAACTTCCTTAAGAACCACATTTGTTTCTTACCTGTGCTGTAACTTGCTCCCAACTTTTTCCCTTTCCTTAATTTTTCTGTTTTTATCTGTCCCTTCACCTGCGCCACAAATCCAGCTTTCTTATTAGCAATAGTGTAGCATAACATTAATAATATCATTGATATTTGTCAGTTTGAAACACTTTAAGTTGAATCCCCTAATAATTATGTATTTATATTAATATATTCAAATGTTAAATACTTTAGCAAATAGAAGGGCTGTTTTATTCTTAAAAACTCACATGAAGGGCCGGCCCGGTGGCGCACTGCTACAGTGCGCTGCTTGGGAGTGCAGTGGCGCTCCCGCCGAGGGGTCGGATCCCACATACAGACCGGTTCCCGCTCGCTGGCTGAGCGAGGTGTGGGGGCAACACCGAGGGTTGCGATCCCGTTGCCGGTCCCGGTCCGGTACGGGCACGACACTGAGGGTTGCGATCTGTTGCCGGACACGAAAAAAAGACAAAAAAAAAAAACTCATATGAAATGATGTAATAATTCCTTTAATGTACTCCAGAAAAAGAAAAAAAATAGGACAGGTAAATGGACAAAATACATGTGACTTAATTTTGCTGGGTGTTGAAGTTGGGTGATGGGAATATTGAGGTTCATACTCTACTTTTGTGTTTATAATTTTCCATAAAAATATTTAAAAATAAAAACAGTATATATCAGGAAGAGGTGCTGTATAAATTGAAGATAACAAAAAGTAATAGTTCAAGACAGTATGATCATGAGGAAAATGTTTACTTTGGTAACAGCAATCTCCTAGTCAAAGTTGTTGAGGCTGTTAAAGACATTTTTAGATTTTTAAGGGAACTATGTAGGTTTAAAGTGTGCATTTAGACCTATTAAAGAAATGAAGATTACAAGGAAAGCTTTGTATGGTCCTCAGATCATACAGGCTTCTTTTAAAAAGGAAATTGAGAAAAAGTTTTTAAAAATATTTGGGGATTAAAAATAAGTATATCTTGGGCCGGCCCTGTGGCTCACTCAGGAGAGTGCGGCTCTGGGAGCGCCGAGGCCACGGGTTCGGATCCTATATGGGGATGGCTGGTGCACTCACTGGCTGAGCGTGGGACGGACAACACCATGCCGAGGGATGTGATCCCCTTACCAGTCAAAAAAAAAGTATATCTTGTTTAGTACCAATGGGATGTAGGGAAAAATAAAATACCAAAGCACTGTATAACTTCATTTCCCAAACTCTATTTTTTAAATATAAAATGTATTACACCAGATTCTAATAATTTTGAGTTAATCATGTGCTACTTTAGGGGCTGGCCTAATATCTGCCATTTTCTCAAGAGGGTCCTTTCTAAATTTCAGTGATAAAAGGGGAGAGATGTCTAAAGTTCCGCAGAAATTCAGCTGGTAAAATACTATTAAACATACAATGTCCTTTAAAACCTTTATAGCTTATGTGTTCCTCAAAACCTTTTTTATCTGTTTATTAAAGCCTAGTGACCCCTTCTAAACAGCCCTTTGTTGAGGTACTATGGCCAATTTCTTTAAATACAGTTTATAAATCTGATGTTTAGTTGGTTCAGACTTTTCCCATTAATCTGAATTGGTAAAATGTTCACTATAAAAATGTTTTCCTGTTGCTGGTCCCCGGTACGGGCGTGACACCGAGGGTTGCGATCCCGTTACCGGTCAGTAAAAAAAAAAAAAAAAAAAAAAGACAAAAAGGAAAAAAAAATGTTTACATGTGTGGGCAATGTAGTAACCAGGGGAATAAGGATAACACTGTGTTAGTTTTAGATGACATTTATACCATTTTACTCCTTTTAATGTGAAATTGTACTAATCAGTAGGTTTTAGAAAGTAGCAATAATAAAATTGTTTTCTAAAATGAAATCCCTCGTGTAAGAGCAAAGTCTAGGAAAACTATGTTCAAAGTAAAAAAACAAATTATTTTTTAAGTACAAAAATAGGATGAGAGAGAAACAAGTTCAGTCACTAAAGTCACTAAAATGAGTGCCCAGAGAAGAAAATTCAGTTGTTGCCATTTCCTCTTTGTCAATCAGATACTACCAGCATTAACAGAGTTGCTGACACTTTGAATAACCGGAGTATCCATCCAGATCCCAAGGGAGAGTCCAGTGAAGAGAGGAATGCAATTGCGAAGACTTTTTGTGATTCTTCTTTTCCCACAGAACATGTAAGTCAATTAAAAATATTGCCTAGCAGACCTTAGTGAGCTAATTCTACAGATATGTGTAGAACTGTACGCATCTGGATGCTTTAAGACCTAACTCATCTCCAAAATAATATCAAGAGGGCAACATGGCACCATTTTTCACAATTAAGGTTGATAGAAAACAGCAGGAAAAAGTCACAGTACATAAATCAAATAGATATAATCCAGCCTGTTTTGGGAAGGACAGTATGAGGCATTATATTATGTACTTCTATTTTTTAGTCACCATAATTTAGAAATAGTGGCAGTTGAGCATTTAAAATTTTATATCCATGAAAGCTTAAAAATAAGCTAATCAAGTCTAGTTGTTTTTAATAATGCTTAGTTTAATTTATATTATTTTTGGAAACTTATTATTGAGATGGAAATTTATCTAAATTGTTTCAATTAGAGCATAATGTGTGAAAGGATCAAATATCCATAATATAATAGTAACTATGGATGTATGTATTAAGTATTTGTAGAGATTATATGGCTCCCAGGAGTCCATTTGTCATAAGAAAAGCAACTAACTATAGCTGACAGGTTATTTGGTTAAATTTATGTTTTATCCTTAGTGTGCAAAACCTTAGCAAGAAAAAGCGTATACTGTTCAAAGTCTACAAAACAGTTAATTATAGGTGTCACAGCTAAAAGGTAACCTAAGATTAGGAAACATTACTTATAAAATAATAACTAGTGACAGACTTTAAAGTCATTGTATATTTTAAGCTTTCGAGATGCATATTAAACTTTCTCTTTAGCACATACAAAATGAAAATTATAGTAGTATAACACATCTTTAACAAATAACAGCTTTTAACTGTATTTTATTTTCCTTTTTAAATTGGAGAAGCCTTAAGTGAAATAACATGTAATTCTTCCTCTGAGAGGGTTGAAACAAAGATCAGGATCTGTCCTTTACACTTTCATAAATTGCGCTCAGCAACAGTGCAGTTTTCAACTTGGTGTATACAAGTGTGTATCTTTAAAATGTGGTAACTGAAGAGCAATTTGGCATTGGAAAAATCAATGCTTTTATCTTGGCCTGGCCAAGTGGATAAGTCACAGATCCAACAAGCAAAATGGAAGCTTGAGAGCATCAAAGCTAGATACCTTTTCTAATTAGGTTGAATACTTAAGATTTAATAATTTGGACAGAATGCTAATTCAGCTCATAAATGTAAAGTTACTTTCAGAATTTGTTCCTGAATGAATCATGTTTAATTTTGTGAGAATCTGAGGGTCTGAGAGAAAAACCATGCCTAGGCATTTTTCAAACAGGCCTTACATGAAGACCTCAATGCTACAGGGAAGATTTTACTTCCATTCACTTACAACCCTAAAATATACAACTGGTAAAATGAAGAAAAATGGTTGGCAAGAATACTTAACATTTATAAGAGTTTTGCCACCCCTCACCCCCATGCAGTGGACACTAACTACTTCAGTTAAGGGAGGGTATGAAGGAAATTTCACATCTCTCTTGAAAACCCATTTTTATATTTAACGTAGTAGAGAAGTTGTTTGTGTCTAATTCCTAATGCTTTTCCTGCAATTAATGTTGTTTTTAAGAAATTACATTTATAGAATTTATAACCTTTTCAAGTATTCCCACAACATCCTGTAAGGTAAATAATTTTTTCTATTTTACAGATGAGGAAATAGTGACACAAATGTGAAATAACTTTCCAAGGTCATTAAGACACTAGAATGTAGACTAGATGTCTTTGGCTCTGAGTCAAATGCTATATTGTACCTTCTCAACTTTCATAACAGAAAAAACTCAGAATTATAGTGAATGTAAAACTCAGTTCACTTGCTAAATGAACATTTTCAGTGTTTATTATTTCTACATGCCACGCACTAAGTCCCAGCTTAAACTTGATTGCCAATTATCATGTAATGTGGGACAAATTCAAAATAGATTTTTAGATCATAGCCACACCTATTCCTTTAGTGTTTATGGCTGTTTTTGCACTGCAGTGACAGGATTAAGCAGTTGTATGAGGCCATGTGGCCCACAAAGTCAACAGTATTATTGGTTCTTTACAGAAAGGTTGTCAACCCCTGTTCTAAATGAAGACAGATGAATTTTACTAAGACTGATAGCCAGAAAGGGAATAGAAGTTATTTTTCATTTATTTATTTTTTTGGTGGCTAGTTGGTAAGGGAATCCGAACCCTTAACCTTTGTTACAACACCACAGATAGATATGCGTAAATGCGTCCTTCCTTTCCATCATCATTAAGATAAAAAAGTCAAAGAATCAGAAATTTGGGAAACTGCTAATTTGTACTTGTATGCCACACGTACCAAAATACACAAAGCATTTTGAGGGCAAAATAGGACCATTAAATTATACATATCAATCATTTTACTTCAAAATTAGGAGCAACCTAAATTTAGATTTGATCTGTTTCTCCCCATCTATTCTCAATATTGCATTAGAATCCTTTTTGGCCCTATGAACTAAATGAGTAAACAAGTAAACAAGGAATGTTGAGCACACTTATATGCCCAGACATTATCAGAAATGTATACACTTGTGCACATTTTTATCCATTACCAAACAGTTATTCTTTACAGTAATAGCATCTGGGAGCTTAAAAGGAGTTAATGAGAAAACGGAGGCCCATAAATGACTTGCCTAAGGTCTCTTGGTGTTCCTGGGCTAACACTTTTGAAAGAATATAGGCAATTAGACACATATGAACACAGCATCAACCCAAAGATCAGAGGTAAGACTATTAGGGAACTGGCGGATGACTGTAGAATTTTCAGGAAGCCAAACAGCAATACAAAAGGAGCAATACTTAGGGAACTGTGGTTAAATTCTAAACATTTAAGCTCATTTAAAAAATAAACGTATTATTATATAATCTCACATTGAAAATGACAGTGTTACTAATATGCCACTTTTACCAAATTGGAAAAGATAACGAACAAATGTTATTCATTGTAGCCTAATGCAGAAGTGATTATTTTCTTGTAGTTTAAATGTCCAACGATACACTAAATTTGGAACATGGAATATGATGGAGCCATCCTCTTAACAGACTCTGAAGAACAGCAGAAAATTTAAAATGTTTTTTATGTAGCATATAAACCAATAAAAATATCAAAGTTTTTTCAATACAAAAAAGAGACCAGAAGATTTATACCAAAATGTTTAATGGTGGTTGGGATCCTAAGGTGATTTTTATGTAATTCTTATCCTGTTCCACATTTCTAAAATACACATTTTTTTACCTTATAACACAAGAACTATTTTAATATAATATTCCCTTTGAATAGAATATTTTATCCGGGAATCTATTTGAAGACAGAGATATTTTCATAAAATTAACGCAGAAATTTATTTTTGATAGGCATAAACTGGAAACAACTTAAACATTCAATAGTAGGAGATTATTTTGCATCCACTGATGATTGTTTACGAGACATTTTAATGACCTGGGAAACTGCTCACAGAGGAAAAGGCAAGATATAAAATTCTATAGAACCACCAAATATGCTAAAAATAGGAAAAAAGACTAGCAGCAAACAATACCAAAATGTTGACAGGTCTCTGGGTAATGGATTACTAATAATTTTTAGTTTCTTTATACTTCCTTATTTCCTAAATTCACAATAAATATTTTATTATCAGGAAGAAGAATTTTGAAGAAGTTTTAAAACACACTATTTTAAGTATGACCTAATGCAGTGCCTTGAAAACACGCCAACTTCCAAAACCTCATTGCTCGTTCCTATTTCAACAATGGTGCTCTGAAGCGTGAGGAAACATTAAGTGAAAGGAGTTTTTGCATGCAGTGCCTTGAAAACACGCCAACTTCCAAAACCTCATTGCTCGTTCCTATTTCAACAATGATGCTCTGAAGCGTGAGGAAACATGAAGTGAAAGGAGTTTTTGCAGTTTACTTACATTAGAATTTTTAATTTTTCCCTAGCTTTGATAGAAGATACAAAGCATAGACATGTTTGGGAAGAGAAGGTAGTAGAATACACAACTGATTTTTATCAGCATTGTAAGCTCAAGACCTTCTAGAAAACATCTGTGGTATTCCTGGAATATATTAGGTATTTCGAAGAGCTACTACATAAGCCTACAAATTCACATTATATAGTGTTCTGGTGCCAAAATTACTAAGGCAGTTGTTTGAAATCAGCCAAGATGATGGTGACTATCACACAGTCATAAATGCAGAGGCTTAACGGATTTTCCTTAAAGTTTTTTGTATAATAATTTCAATGGTAAAAGAAGTTTTGCCTTTCCTAGGTGAAAACAGAGCCTCTGAAATCAACTCTGCTCCAAGGCCATTTTCAGAAAATCAAGATTAAAGATACTACTGATTTGGCTGCCTCTTCACCTGGTGAGGATAAGTGGCAGAACCTCATAACAAATCAAATACATGAAATTGAAAAGATGCTAAGCTTAGAAAATGAAAACCAGCCTAAAAAAAGAAAAGCAGAAGAGATGTTAGGAAAACAAACAGATTAATGTTGATAAATGCTTTCAGTTGTGAAATGATGTAACTGAAACACTGATGTAGTTTTTACTAGAATGAAATGACTTACATCTTAAAGCTTTTCTAAAAGACCTCACTTTACCTACTTTTTCTGTGATGAAATATTACTATTATGTATTTGCTCTGCAGACGCATCATTTAAGATAGCTATCCTAATATTTGCAGTTTGCTGTGAGCATGCATTTCCTCTTAACTTTAAACTTTGTGTCCCCACTGTATATCCTTTCTTCAAACTGCTTTTTGCTCCTTAATAGCCTTCCTTACAGACAGAACTTTTATTATGTCCTAATATTTGCAGTTTGCTGTGAGCATGCATTTCCTCTTAACTTTAAACTTTGTGTCCCCGCTGTATATCCTTTCTTCAAACTGCTTTTTGCTCCTTAATAGCCTTCCTTACAGACAGAACTTTTATTATACCTATTTGTATCCTCTGAAGTTTGTGATTTCACTTTAAATTTGAGACAATAAATGTACAGACTAGTCAAATTTTAGTTTAGTTTACACTGTTCTACTATGATTTAGGTCCCCCCCCACAACCAAAAAGAACAAAACTATATGCATAAAAATTCAGGTATCAGAAAGGCTCAAAAGGCTGTTTTTCACTTTGTTCAAGTTTTGTTTCCAGGCATTAAGTGTGTCATACAGTTGTTGCCACTGCTGTTTTCCAAATGTCCGATGTGTGCTATGACTAAAAATTGAAAAATTAAAAACAAAGTATTAGTCAACCTTTTATCCTCTTGTATTCTTTTAATAATACTACACACATGAACCTATTTAAAAGCAAGGTTAAATACACATAAAAGACATAATTTAGAACTGCAAGAGAATTTAATTAGATGCTTATTTTTAAAGAGTCTATACCATACTGATCCTAAACCTTCTGTTCTTCCTAACAGACACAAAAGTCATTAGTATTCTAGCCAATGCTCAGCCATTAAATGAAATGTGCTGGAAAATAGGACTCTTTCATTAAATAAGCTAATCACATTCAGCCTCAGCTTTAATAAAATTATGACAAATAGCAACTATTTAACTACAGTCAACTGATGAGAACATCACCTTGGCTCTCTAAACATTTAAGTGAAATAATCAGAACAAACTGAATTGTTTTACAAAATGCTGCAGAGTATTAAATGTCTTACCTGACAACTACTTTTCTCTGGGTCTGATCAATTTTGCAGTAGACCATTTTAGTTCTTACCGCTGAAAAAAAATGTTTTACATATGTTATATAGAAAATTCCAAAAAAACCCAGCTAATGTATGAAACTGTGACCAACTAAGCCATAATGAAACCTTACACTGTTTTCCAAAATTATTTTACAAACTGGCTGTTTGCATCTGAGCAAAGCAATATGGTGCAACCAAGAGGAAGGTCGTGCATTTGTCCTATGGCTGCTAGACCAATCTTCAGTAAATTAATATTACATACAGTTTTTATTAAGAAATCTAGGTGCTCTCCCCTACCATTTCATATGGGGGAAAAAACTAATTTCCTAATAAGTTATTACTTCTTTATAGGACTGCTGGAGACTTATAAGAAAGAAACTATGTCAATAGTTCTATACATTTTATTAATCTTACTTGTACGATCTCCCCAACCTTCAAACTTAAAAAGCCCAGAAAAAATTCCTGATTAACAGTTAAATCACTTTGAAATGCAACTGTTGGGGAAGAAGCTCCTATTTCTAGGCTAATGACAAAAAACTGGTAATGGTCATTAACATTTGCGGATCATTTACTTCATGCCAGGCACTGTGTTTTACCTGCATTAATTCAACCCTCCCAGCCACAAATAAACTTACATTCCTGTTGCATAGAGGAAGACCACTCAATCCCAGGTCTGATACTAAAATCTCTTCTTAACCACTATGGTAAACTGCCTAAAGGCCTTTGTTCTATGCAATTTCAAGGGAAAGAACCAACACCAAAAACCACACAGCATTTTATACTTCCATTAAATTTCCACCCTACTACAAATATATCTGTTAATCTACTAAACATACACATTTGCTACAAAATAATCTAGCTTTGATAGCATAAGGCTCAGTTTCAAGATAAAAATCATTGTTTCACATAGAAGAGAAATTCTAGAAATAAATGAAAATGTCCTGATTCCTTTACCGTCAATAACAAATGCTTCAACATCATCAGCTCCAATCTGAAGTTCTTGCTGCATTGTATCAAAAGAAATTTCTTTATTTTCCACTGCCATTCCCATAAAAGTAAGTAGTCTCATTTTTGCCATATTCTGTTCATGTAATAGGCCTGAATGACATAATAGTGAAGCCTGATGAGTAGCCATACTAATTAAAGGCCGACATAACTACACCTATTGTGTTAAATCGTGGAAATCATTATTTGAGCACTTACACAGAATAGTTTTGACAAAACATATTTGCAGATCATATACTGACACTATAATGAAATTATTTTAAGTTATTTTTCTAGAACTATATTTCTTTGTTACCGTAGTTCCACAGGTGATAGGTTCAAAGATAAGAATGGGCTATAAAATGATATTTTTAGGCCCTAAAAGTTTTGTACATTTCACATTTTTTTATATTTATACATTCAGGACAGAAAGAATCCAAAATACATTTCATAAGAACATTTTCTATTTAGTTGAATTACCTAAGCTTCCTAACATACAAGATTCCTTATATACCTTAGTACTTGTTCTATGTCACTATTACTGGTAGACCTTAAGTTTAAAAATATTGTCATAAACATTTTCAGTTATGAAAACATTTCACTTCTCTTCAGTTCTCTTTGGATTCAATATTTACAAATCAAACTGTCACAGGGTATTTACCATTTAACATTTATAGGCCAATATATCTAGTACTAGATAAAATTTAACAGGACCATTAACAGAGAAATTCATTCTTTATAAGACAAAAGCAGAAAACTGTAGAAATAATTCAAATTTTGCATTATAATTTCTTTCTTTTTTTTTTTCCTTTTTGTCTTTTTTACTGACCGGTAATGGATCGCAACCCTCGGTGTCGCACCCGTACCGGGGACCGGCAATGGGATCGCAACCCTTGGTGTTGCGCCCGCACCACGCTCAGCCAGTGAGCGGGAACCGGTCTCCACATGGGATCCGAACCCTCGGCGGGAGCCCACCAGGCTGGCCCATTGCATTATAATTTCTAATAAAACATGATGTTACAATTATTCACATCACAAGCAATTGTTAGGCCTAGAAAAAAATTTAACAAATTACCTAGTCCCCATCCTTTCACTTTAAAAAACAAAACGGAGGAGCAAAGAGATTAAATGACTGAGTTACAGTCACAAAATGGCAGTGGTAGGCCTAGAATGTGAGGGGTCTTCACACAGTTCATGGAAAGATTTGTATTATCTTTCAATTCTATTTTTCCATAAATTTTTTGAAGTACCCTTATATAGGTTCCTTTATAAAGAATTAGCAATAAAAAGAACTCTTTACAAATCCTAATTATCAAAATTATAACCTGATCCTACATAGAAGCAGATTTATAACACAATGTCATATAAACTTGTTTTGATGCTAACTTATTAATTATAAAAATAAGTTTCTAAAACTAATCTAGATATACAGCTTCCTTTTCTCCGACCTTTCAAATTATGGTATCTCAGCAAATGATCGATTATGTGCCCTTTAAAAATTCAGAGCCTCCAGTTCGCATTTTTTAAAAAGTTCTAAGTACTACATAAATAAATTTGAAATTTATAACATTTATATATTAGTGTGGCCAGAGAAGCCCATTAATACTGGGCATGATTATCTGTTAATTAGCTGTAATTATGACACAGGCTTCCTATTTGGCACAGATTCAACAAAAACACGATCATCATAACTCAAATGAATGAGGTACACAAGTAAGTGTTGCTAACTCATTTAATGGAAATCTACAAGCATCGAAAAATCAATTAGTGCACATTAACCCTAATTAAAAAAAGGCAAATTAGATGCTTATTAACTTTCAGAAGCAAGAAGGTAGCAACTGGATAACACCATATTACATGTGGACATGTTAGGGCAATTTGGTTGACACAAGATAATGCTACTGTTGGCCCAAACTGTCAGTGTTAAGGAACAACAACAAAAAGTTTTGATAAACTGATGCCACCTGTGGAATCTAGACATCTGTAACCAGACTTCAGCTGGAATGTCTATAATACATCTAAAACCAAAAATATACACATTTAATAAGAAGTTTTCCCCAAAGCAATTGATATAAACATTCTAGAAGAAGATTGTTAATTTGTATGGATGTTCAAAAAACAAAAAGCAAATTCGGGAATTTGATTTCTAGTTGGCATAATAAATTAGCAATGTTATGAAATTTTTCCTTTCAGATAACAAGTACTAAAGATTTTCTCAAACATTTCTTAACATTCTCAGTTCTACAGGTATATACACAGTTCTTTCAACATGATAAAATAACAGAAATTCCTGAAATTTCTGAGACATGATTAAAATTACTCCTAAAATTAAGTCTATTTCACTGCTACTCTTTCTGTACTTATAACTTTACCTAAGTGAAAAAACTTATCTGAGGAATGAAGATTATTTCTAGAATGAATTACATAAAATCACTATCTTACATATGGCAACTTGCATCAAAAAACACTACAAATTTGATGTTTACAGGCCGGCCCATGGCTCACTCGGTAGAGTGCGGTGCTGATAACACCAAGGCCACGGGTTCGGATCCTATATGGGGATGGCTTGTTTGCTCACTGGCTGAGTGTGGTGCTGACAACACCAAGCCAAGGGTTGAGATCCCCTTACTGGTCATCTTTTAAAAAAAAAAAAAAAAAAAAAAAAAATTTGATGTTTACAAAGTCACTACTTTAAAACAAAGAACCAAACTTAAAGCTTTTAGGACACTTATTCTGAAAATCAAACTATTAAGCCAGTGAAGTATGGGTTAAAGACGTATAGGAAGCTTTGTTTCATAAAACTAGAATACTACCTTCAAAGAGTAAGTCACAGTGTTTTGTGTCATATTTCAATATTAAAGTTATAAAAAAATCTAATTTTATGGAAACATTTATTCATTACTAATATGTCAAAACCTTAATGCAGTAATAAAAAAATGTGCATCATTGAGCAATTTCAGCATTGTCACTGACCCCTGTCTTAAAATGCTGCAATATAGAAAACGCAATTTTAATGCATGCAATAGCTTATGAACCAGTGCTCCTTTGAAACAGTCAATTACACATCAATGGGGGAGTGTCAAAGTGTTAATTACTACTCCTTTTTCCTTGGTGCGTAAATAAAAAGGTTGCTGACATTAACATTC